TAGTGCTTGGTATGACATATTGAGTAATTTTATTTTAGAAAATAAGTTTACCAGAGGAAAAGTTTACACTACACTCTTCTGCAAAACCATCAAAAATGATATTATGATTGTTCAAATTTATGTTGATGATATTATTTTTGGTTCTGCTAATCCATCCCTCTACGAGTAATTTTCTAAGTTAATACAGGTTGATTTTAAAATGAGCATGATAGGAGAACTGAAGTTCTTTCCGAGAATCCAGATTGACCAAAAACTAGAGGCTACTTACATTCATCAAATTAAGTACACCAAAGAACTTCTGAAGAAATTCAACATAACAGACTGCACTTTAGCAAAGACACCGACGCATCCAACATGAATTTTGAAAAAAGAAGAGGTAATTGGAAAGGTATGTCAGAAGTTATATCGTGGTATGATAGGCTCTCTTCTGTATCTGACTGCATCTAGACTTGATATTTTATTTAGTGTACAAATTTGTTCTAGACTCCAATATTATCACAGGGAATCTCATTTAACTGATGTTAAGAGAATTCTAAGGTATCTGAAAGGAACCACTAACTTTGGCTTGATATATGAGAAAACATCAGAGTACACTCTTTCTGGTTTTTGTGATGCAACCTACATTGGAGATAGACTAGAGAGGAAGAGTACTTCTAGAAATTGTCAATTTCTAGGTAAGAGTATGATCTCATGTTCAAGCAAGAGGCAATTAACAATCTTTCTCTCAATTGCAGAAGAGTATATCTCAGCAGCACCATGCAGCACTCGGATGCTCTGGTTGAAGAATCAGCTGGAAGATCATCAGATTTATGAGAGTAACATTTCTATCTTCTGTGGTAATACGTCTGCTATTTGCTTGAGTAAGAATCATATCTTACATTATAGGGCTAAACACATAGAAATAAAACATCATTTTATTAGAGACTATGTTCAGAAAGGGCTCATATCTTTAAAATTCATAGATACAGACCATCAGTGAGCTGATATTTTTAGAAAATCCTTAGTTGAAGATACATTTTTATTTATTCTAAAGAATCTGAAAATGGATCTCTGCCCAGAGTAATATGTCATTAAATCAAACATGTTTTAGTCGTAGTCTGAAGTGATAAGACTCTCACTCAATTAAATATCTTCTAATTTCTTTTACTTCAGTCATCAGAAGATATTTCAGTCAGAAATGTCTCTGATCAGATGGAAACCTTCATGGTTTTTCCAGATACTGAGAATATCAAACGCATCACCTAAATAGACTTAGTCTCTATCACACTCTACCTAGGAAATGCACGAGTAGTTATTTTTCTTGGAATTGATTAGTCATGATTACATTTATTAACTACTCCTATATTTTGTGTCTTAAGAACAGTTGTTTCGTGTCGTATTCCTATGTTTTGTTTGATATGACTGCTAAGATCTTCCCTATTGGGCTTTAGTTAAGTGTTCTCTTGTTCTTCTATCTTAACTTTTGATCTTCTTCTCTTTTTATTCCCTACTTTTAGCAGTTTGTGATGTCATTTGATTCTCTCTCTCAAAATTAATTCCTTTGAGTGCTTCAATCGTCTCATTTCTTGAACGACTGGACTGACTATTTATATCTCCTCTCATCTATAGTCCTTCATTAATTCATTATTCTTGTATTATCTTCAATCGTTTCTTCTCTTCAAGCTTTTATGCATACCATGGTTGTTAGAACCTTTCAAGGAGATGAAAATCTTCTCGAAGTAATCAAAGAGAAAAGACCCAACTATGTGTCTGATGATGGTTTCATCAACGGTTTTATTGAAAATCAAGGATGGTCTGGGTATGCAACAATACTTAGAGGTCCTATTTATCCTAACCTCGTGAAGAATTTATGGCTTCATGTTTTTTTCAGTCCTAATGGAAACTTCATTCATTTTTATTTTTTGGTATTTCAATTACTGTCACTCTCTCCTCTATTGATGAAGTCATCCAGAGTTCACCGTTACCTAACTCCTGCATGAATGTTGATATTTTTCCAAGAGTTCCTAATTATCCCTTTAGATATGAGCCCCTTAATCTATATCATTTGAAATCACTTGCAAAAATATGCTTTCAGTTCTTCTTGAGAAACCTTCATCCCAGAGGGGAAGATCTTGATAAGGATTTTCCTATGGATATGTGTCTTCTTTATTGCCTTGGCAAGAGTACTCCAATTCATCTTTCGGTAATAATATTTAATCATATGAAGCTATCAATCCTTGCATTCAAAAAATCCAAAAAATTATTCATTCCTTATGGATGTGTATTGTCTAAACTGTTTGAGTTAGCTGGTGTAATTGAAACTGTTTGAAGAAACCTGTTCATCGGAGGAAATGATCTATTTGATGAGAGTTTGTGATGTGTTTGAATTTATATAGTTTTCCTTGTTTTCTTTCGCTCTGTTGTTTCCCCTTCTATTGTAATCACTTTCAAATATCAAGAAAAGTTTTTGATTTAAAACCCAATTCAAACCACCTCTTTCTTGTGTTTTTCACACCTTCACAAATCATTGACATCAGCGCTTATGTATGGGAACAAAAGATTGACATTAGCGCTTATAACTAGGAACAAAGGATTGACATCAACACTTATGACTGGGAACAATGGGGTGACATTAACGCTAATAGCTGGGAACAAATTGTTGACATCAATACTTATGGTTGAGAAAAAATGATTGACATCAACACTTATGGTTAGGAATAAAACATTCACATCAGTACTTATGACTGGGAACAATCGGTTGACATTAGTACTTATGAAGACACCCATGTTCTTTTAGGAAGACCATTTCTAATTATAGGAAGAAATCTAATAGATGCTGAAAATGAAGAACTTACTATGAGGGTAAGCAAGTAGATAATGGTATATATCCTAAATGTATTGAAATACCCTAAAGAATGTATAACTGATTACTCATTAATATCTAGTTGGAATTCTCTTGTTCACAAGCAGGTCATAGATAAAAAAGATAAGTTAGAACAAGAATTGGACGAAGAAGAAAAATATGCATTAGTAAGTTAAGGTAGCATAAGTGGACCTCTCCTCCAAATTGAGGGCAGGGTGGAACACTTCGATACCCTCAAAATTACAATTGAATTTGTAGAACACAATGTTCTATTGATAGAGAAACAACCTAAATTTGAATTGAAACAAGCCCCATCTCACTTTCAATATGTTTATTTAGAGGCATGGCAGAAGTTTGCTGGGATCATTGCTACTGATTTGTCTGATGAGCAAACATGTCAACTTCTGAAACTTCTTAAAAATCACAAGAAGGCTATTGCTTGAAAAATATTTGACAACAAGGGAATCAAACCTACAATTTGCATGCATAAAATAGTTTTGAAAGAGAACGTCAATAATAATATAGAAAGCCAAAGAAGATTGAATCCCATCATAAAGGATGTAGTTAAGAAGGATATCAGCAAATGAATAGATGAATGAATTATCTACCATATCTCTAATAGTGTGGATAAGACCTATTAAATGTGTCCCAAAGAAAGGTGGAAGGATTGTGATTAAAAATGTAAAGAATTAACTAATTCCTTTAAGAGTTATTATTGGTTGGAAAATATGAATGAATTACATGGAGTTAAACAAGGATACAAGAGAAAAAAAACATTTTCCTCTTCCTTTTATTGATCAAGTTCTTGATATGTTGTCTGGAAATGAATTTTATTGTTTCCTTGAAGAATATTCAGGCTTTAATCAGCTTGCAATAGCTCTCGAAGACCAAGAGAAGAAATTTTTTAGATTTCCCTATGAAGCATATGCTTTTAGAAAGATGTCATATGGATTATGCAATGCTTCTATAACACTTCACATATACATGATGGTCATCTTATCTGATCTTGTTTAATGTTCCATGAAAGTATTTATGAATGATTTATCATTATTTAGGGAGTCATTTCAAAGGTGCTTGGACAACGTAGAGTTGGTATTGACAAGATGTGAAGAAAGTAACTTGGCGTTGATTTGGAAAAATTGTCATTTCATTGTTAAGGAAGGAATATTCCTTAGACACAAATTTTCTATGGTAGGATTTGAGGTATGCCAAGCCACAATTGAAGTAATTGAAAAGTTACCGACAACCTCTTTGAAAAATACAACTACTTAGTCATTGCGCTACTTTTTAGTTTCATTACATAATTTATACATATATAATATATATTGGTATCTCATTTAATTTGTATTAAAAAATTTAAGACCCTTAAAATTTTGAGGTCCTGTGTTGTGGGTCTGTTTGCACAACCACATGATTGGACCCATTTGTATTTTGTCAAAAATTGAATTATTTAGTTTTGAATTTTTTATTTTAAATATGGGTTTTGAAGGGGTTTTTAAGACGAAGAATATAAAGAATATGATTGTTTGAATAATATGAAGATGAAGAAGGTGGTTGTGTACTTGCATGTATTCTTTGAATTTTTGGTTGAACTTCATCTTTCACTGAAGATTAAAGATTACTTTGAGACACTGATGATTCTATTTAGAAGCGTTCATTGAAATTTATCTTTTATGATTTTGTTTTTCATAAAAGGAAGAAAATATTCATATTTAAAAGAAGAACTTTTAACTTACAAAAATGGAGATTCTAACCTAAGATAGAAAATCTTCATATTTGTTTAACCTGATCATAAGTTTATTCATCTTCCTTGATTTTTTTTAAACAACTTAATTTATGCTTAAAATGTGTCAAATAAGAGTTTCACATTTTCATTATGAAGAACAAAAAAAGAATGGCATGTGGTGGAACTGATGGAAGATGAAGATAATGAATGATGGAAGATGGAGAGTTTTTTTATATTTTAATTTTAATTTTATAAATCTAAATTTCTATTCACTATTCATCTTCATCAATTTTCTTTTTTAGATTTGCGTTTTTTTCTCGAAATCTGAGCTTTGAAGATATTTTGATAGTTTATTCCATAAATATTATAATTATTATTTTACATTTGATATAACATTATATGTATACAAGATTGATACATGTATATGTGTTTCTAGTTTTCCACTGGTGACTTGCGTTCCCAATGATTTTTACTTTTTAAATCTTTAGAAATAGGAATGGCATTTTCAATATTGCCCTCTTTTCCACCATCGGCCTCGTGTCCGCCACAATTTCCACCTTCACTGCCGGCGTCTTTCTCGCAATCGGGAAAGAGTGGCTCATCTCCACCACGTCCTTCACCATTGGTTAATGGTATTACAACTCCATCAATGTAAACACCTTTGTTTATGTATCCACCATTCCCTTGTCCCATGTTTCTCATTGATTTCTCTATTTCGCCAACTACAAACAAACCAAAAACATTTTATATTAATATAACAAAAAAAAGTGCATGCATATACATGATATGACAATTATATATACAAATACATTGATTCTCATCTTCATAAGGCTCAATTGACACAATAGAGATTAGAAGCATTGCACATAAGCACAAGAAGATAGCATGCTTGATTTTCATCATTGCTACAAGTATGACTTTCTTGTGAAATATATTAGGAGCTATTTATAATCCTCATGAGGTAAGATATATATATATATATATATATATATATATATATATATATATATATATATATATATATATATATATATATATATATATATATATATATATATATATATATATATAATATATTGTACGATAAAAAATGTTATTTTGTATTGTACTCCAAAAACTATTATAAAATATAATGTTTGGCTAGTTGATTGTAACAATGATAAGGTATCATCACCTATTGAGCCATTCAAGAGCTACATTGAGGTAATTTTGTAAACTGCGGTAAGATTTTCTTGGGACTAAGACAAGTTGAAAGTAATTAGTATGTTTGGTATTTTCTTTAACAAAAATTTAGGTTTATTTTTTAGGTGTGGTTTATATATTTTTTTAATAAAAAAATGATAAATATATAATTTTCTCCTACATATATGCAATTTCTTCATATTTTTATTCTTTAAAAAATATTTAGGTATATTTATCATATTTTTATTAGAGAAAAATATAAACCACACATTAGAAATTGTATCTAAGTATTCTCTCTTTCTTTATTCTAGAAAAATAATAATCATGATCAACAACTAATTACTATTTTTTTCAAATGATATATAACAGAACATAATATTAATAATTTTATAAATAATAAAACTATTAATAATTATTCTCCCTATGTTATTTGGACCAATTTCAAAAAAAAATTGAAAATAAGTTTGATAAACTTTCTTAATATTTGAAAATTTTCTTGTTTTGCACTTTCATCTGCCTCAGTTATCAAAAAAGCTGATGTGACATAGTTTTTTTCATGTAATGTTTATTTCATATATGTACTTCACTTATTGAAATGATCTAAATACCCTCAATTAAAAATTAAAATCCGATAATAAAATTATTTATTTTAAAAGACCCTAAAATATCAGATTCTCAATCGTCCCCTTAATCTTCATTGTTTTGAACCCTAGAATCTCATATTCTCTATCGTCTCATTCTTCTTAATTGTTTTGAACCTTTGAAAAGCTCAAACACTTTGAATCCTTGAATATTCAACATCAAGCATTTCATTCACGTGTTTCCTAATTTCGTTTGTCATGTAGTGCCGGAAAGACAAGCATTGGTGGTATAAAAAAGGTATGATAGTAATAACGTTTAATAATTTGCAGTGGTCCCTAATGCAAAACTGGCCTTCAATTTGTAGTGGAGTATGGGTGATTTGTGTAATGTTCATCATCCATATAACACACTTCAATTTATAGTGGATCTAGGGAAAATAACTTGTACATGTTTCTTTTTGAAACTAGTGGAGATACCTTGTAGACATGTTGTGTTTCTTGTGCAGTATCAAAATTTGAACCCTGAAGTATATGTTGATTCATGTTACCTGGGGGTGGTTATAAAGCATGTGATGAAAATAATGTAAGCTCAATCAATAGTATGGACATGTGATCAAATGTGGATGTAGAAGACATGTTACCATCTTAGTATAAGAAGGGTCCAGGCATGCCTAAGAAATTGAGGTTCAGTGAGCATGATGAAACAAGGTCAAGGATGAGGAGGCCTAAAGTAGTTTATAGATGCATCAAGTGAGAAAAATTTATCCATGAGTCAAGGAAATGCCAGACTAATGGACATGATCTTAATGCATTAAAAATAAAGGAAAATATTCATGCTTATTTAGTGTTTGTCTCGTTTACTATGAATGAATTGAAAAATGTGTGATAAACTTGTTGCACCTGACTGTGTCTAGAAGAAAAACTGGAATAAGGCCTCATCAAGAGCTAATGAAGGTAAGTATGAGGAAAATGCTACTGAAGCTGTATTTGAGGAAAATTCTACTAAAGATGTTGAAGATGGTAGGAATGACTCAAATTTAGATCCAATGATTGAGGATATATTGTTAACTTTTCAAGATGAACCATCCCAAGATCCACATTCTCAAGTGTGTAATCCTACACATGATGATGAATAAGCTGCAAAGACACAAGAAGAAGCTAAGAAGAACATTCCACCTAAAAAGAAAAAAAATTTGAAAAAAGAAACGAGTTGAGAAAATAAAACTCAACCACGTTAAATGAGTAGTGATATGTTCAAGTTTGTTTAGAGGTCTAAAAATTATGTGGGCTTGTGATCAACTTCAGATGCTCCAATTGAAATTTATGACACTCATGGTTCTAAGAAGAAAAAGAAGTCATGGGATGGAATTTTCAGGCGAATGACTAAATAATACTTAATTTATGCGGAATATCTTCTACTTTTGGAACATCTATGTAATATAATTTAAGAATACCCATAGATTAATTTTCGGTCATATTTTGTAATGCAATTGAAGAACATATATGTTATACACAATATGTGTCACTTTTGAAATATATTTGTAATGCACAATATGTGTATATTTTGGATCAATATGTATTGAACAAAATATGTTCATTTTGAATCAACATGTAATGGAATTAATTATCTAAATGGCAAAGTTATGTTGACAATGCAATCCAAATTTTTATGTACATAATAGGTCCAAATTATGTTTAAGTTATATCAAAAGTTATGACAAAATTATGTCCAAAGTAACGTCCAAATTATGTCCAAGTTATGTCCAAATCATGTCCAAAATATGTCAAAACATATTTATGTCTAAATTGTCATGTATGAATACTAAATACTTTAATAGCCATGTTAAAGTTTAAACCATAAACACTCTCTTTTCATTTATTTAAAACAAATTACAATACACATCAACATCGCATTACAATACACATCAAACTTGTTATATTAATTTCTGATACATGCTTCTTAAACAAACCAAAAAAAAACCCAAGAAGAAATAATTACTACTATTACAAAGTTCATCTTCTTCTTCAATCTCTCAACATTTTTCTTCTTCTCTTCCATTTCGTTTAAACACAATGAGTTCCAATGTCTTTCCCAAAATCTTTGCTAAAATTCGTCAACAATTGTGATTTCTCCTTCATTTAAAGTTGCTTCTCTTTCATATTGACCAAAAATGTCATCATCCTAATGGTATAATTGGCAGTCTTCTTCTTTACTCCAATACTTTCACTTCTAGTATTTTCTTGCAGGATTTGCACTAGACTTTGAAACAAACATCTATATAGAAAGATTATATCCATATTTTAGAGTGATTATTCGATTTGAAGACATGCTTGACTTTGAACTTTTTGAGATTTTCATTAATGATGGGGGAATATGTAGAATGGAGAAGATGAAAACAAAAATGAAATCTAAAACAATGATGGGGAAGAAGGAAGGGAGCAGACACGAGGATGGGGAAGAAGGAATGGATTAGATACAATGAAGACAAAGGGGATGAACGAGTATTTTAGTTTTTAGGATTTATTCAAATGAAGATTTAACTAATCATGTTTAATTTTTAGTTGAGGATATTTGGGTCATTTTATTAAGTGAAATACACATGGGAATTATATATTAAATGGAAAATCAAAGAAAACCACATACATATAAGCTTTTTTAATGATTAGGTCAGATGGAGGTGCAAAATAGGGGAAGCTTCAAATATTAAGGAAGTTTATCAAACTTTTTTTATAGGGGTTTTTCGAAAATGGCCCAAATGGCAAGGAAAATAGATATTAAACTGAAATAAAATATATATGTAATACATATGTCCCTAAATATAAGAAGTCCCTTTAAAGTAAATTACCTTTATTACAAAAATTGGTTAGAGTATTAAATTTATTGACTATTTGTATAATTTTACAAGTTTACCCTTAGGAGAGATAAATGATTAATATTTAAACGATAGTATTTATTAAATAATGTAGAAAAAATGTAATATAATTAGGGATATATTTAGAAAAATAATAAATGCACTTTAAAAATATAATAGGTTTTGAAGATGATGAATGTGTAGAATATGATTGTTTGAGGAGGAAGAAGAAAATGGTTGTTTTACTTAAATGCACTCTTTGATTTTTTGGTTGAACTTCATCTTTTATTGGAGATTAAAGATTACTTTGAGACACTAATGATTTTATTTAGAAACTTTCCTTGAAATTTCTCTTTTGTGATTCTTTTTTTATAAAAGTATTTTTTTTTTCAAATTTAAAGAAAGAGAATTTAACCTTAAAAAGTGGAGATTTTAACTTAAGATAGAAAATTTTCAGATTCAAAGAGAAGTGATTTTAAGGCAAAAGAGAAAATATTATATATGAAAATAAGATTTTTTTTTTTTAAATCTGAATTAATTTTTTTCATATTTGTTTAACGTATATATAAAATTATTCATCTACCTTAACTTTATTTTCCAAAAATGTTAATCTGTGTCAAAAATGTCAAATAAGAGTTTCACTTTTTCATTATAAAGAACACATAAGGAATGACATGTGGTGGAATTGGCGGAAGATAGAGATGATGGAAGATGAGGATGATAGATGATGGAAGATGGATAATATATTTAGTTCTGAATTTAACTTTTAAAAATCTAAATTTTTATTCACTATTCATCATCATCAATTTTTCTTTTTTAGATTTGAGTTTTTTTTTTAATTTGAGTTTTTGAAGATGAAGAATATGAAGAAAAAGATGGAGAAGATAAAAGTTTGAAGATGAAAAAATTAAATATAAAATGAGAATTATTTAGATTAATTAAAAATATATTATTTAATATCAAAAAATATTAAATGATTGAGAATTAAGACCTGATAAAAAATTATTAATAAATAAATTAAATAATAATATATTAATAGTTTAAAATGTAAATTTCTCATAGTAGACAAAAATAAATATACCATTTTTTTTAATATAAATTTTATAATGCAAGCAACAAATGGTACAATTATTGATTCATCATGGTCCATATAAGTAACATTCATAATCTTAAAAAGATTGTTTGATGGTATAATTTAACAAAGTTATTTTCAAAAACTATCACTAAAGAGTTTTAAAAAATAAAAAACCAAAATAGATTTGAGTGCTTTTTTACCTTTATAGTT